GTTGATCTTACTGCCATATCTCCCTCTGCCTGTAACATACAACTGGGGGAGGGGAGAAGTCTACAACACACCCACCCATCCTTGACCTTCAGTATAGGCAGGTAGGGGAAACTTTCTCTCACTGAGAACCCTCCCCTTTCCTCCTTGTTCTGACCAGGCACTGAATAGGCCACCGCACAAATAACAGATGTGCTGCTCTCTCCAGCACAAAATAATAAGGGATACCCCACACACACGCACAAACCATCACCACAGTTCAACACATACTCTGTCTGCTCCAAAGGACTGCCCCAAAGGGCAGATCCCTTTGACTCACCTCTCTGACATGACCCACCCCGGCGGCCTTCTGGATTTAATCCTGCTCCTGATAGTGGCTGCAGGCACACCTGCAGCAAATGATCATGGTCCTAAAGATGCCAGCCTCTCAACCAGGCAATGGTGCAGCAGCAACAACAGAGCAAAGGTCTTCCTTCAAGGGGCGTTGGGAGAAATGTAAATCCTGCCTCCCTTCTCCTTCTGAATATATGAAATTCAGATAGTAATTTTATATAAACTGAGATACCTCTCATGAATGTTAAAATTAATGTTTTAGCTGCAGTTCACCATATTCTTATGGGCACTGAAATTTTGCATACTTTATTTGTTATCTTCTGTGCTGTCCATTTGTGAAACCTACAAACCCCATTTACAATTAATATGTATACAGGTTGAACTTCTTTAGTCCAGCAACATCCATGGTCCAGAGTGATTTTAGTTAGCTAGATGTTCTTTTATCATGGGTGGCCAAGTTCCCGAAGGCCTCATTAAGTTTTACAGCCACCAGTCCTGGCTCTCAATGTTTTGTGCAGTTATTTAGCTCTAATTTATTCCTAAATGTCTGTTAGGAGCCCAGGAAGCAGTGGAAGTGTTGGTAATGCTGCTAGACAATATTGACCTCCTATGGTCTGGCAAATTCTCTAGTTTGGCATGAGTCAGGTCTGGAGCGTTCTGGGCTAGAGAGGTTCAACCTGTAATAGGTTCCCATTTTAAAATGTGGTATGAAATTAAATTGTAATTAAAGCATCCTAATTACAGAGTCTTTAATTTTAATAAACAGATCTTAATCAAATGAAACATCTTGATTAAATCAGCTAATTAAACAAAAGCTATTTTCAGTTAGCAGTACATATTGCATTTTAAAAAACAGAAACCCTGAAAAATGACCACTTAAATCAGTGCAGTTACATAAGAGAAATTGTTTCTAACAATAAATTTAATGTATAAGAAGTAAAATGAGATCGAATTTTCCAATGATTCAGAAGTGGTGAGCAATTATATATAACAACATCAACTCAACAGTTTAAAAACTGGCACTAGTTAAAATTTGCTTTAATGAGGCTATTGGCTGATTGATAAATCAGTATTAACTGCTGATGAAAAAAATGTTTCTTTTCACTGAAATAATATATGGACATTCAACTAGTGCAATGGACTGGAAGCATTATTTAAGATTAATTCCTGAAGGACAAGACAGCTAAATAGCAGAGGAATGTTTTTGCCACTAAATTCAAAGAGAAAAGGCACATATTTATTTCAAGTTTATTTAGTCTTAAGCTCACATTCTCTGCTCCTTGTTTCCCGCCTACCCCTACCCCCCCTCCTTTTTTCCTTCTCCCCTATTTATTTTGGATCTGCACTTCCTAAACTCAAAGCTCCAGTCATCTGAAGAAGTGTGCTGTGTCCACAAAAGCTCATGATAACATCTATATGTTTTGTTAGTCTATAAAATGCTACCAGACCTTTTGTTGTTTTTAAAGTTTATCCTGTGCAGACTAACTTAGCTACCCCCTGACGCTTCTAGGCACAACAGTTAGGTCCGAATTGAAAAAAACACATAAACAGTTTGGCATTTTAGCATAGATATGATGCATGGCATCTGTAAAGGCTTTTTTAACTATAGGTTGAACCTCTCTAGTCCAGCATCTTTGGGACCTGACTGGTGACGAACCAGAGAATTTGCTGACTGTGCAGACTAACTTAGCTACCCCCTGACGCTTCTAGGCACAACAGTTAGGTCCGAATTGAAAAAAACACATAAACAGTTTGGCATTTTAGCATAGATATGATGCATGGCATCTGTAAAGGCTTTTTTAACTATAGGTTGAACCTCTCTAGTCCAGCATCTTTGGGACCTGACTGGTGACGAACCAGAGAATTTGCTGA